GAAACAGAGACAGAGATAGAGACAAGAGAAAGAGAAAGAGAGAGAAAGAGAGAGAGAGAGAGAGAGAGAGAGAGAGGAGAGAGAGAGAGAGAGAGAGAGAGAGAGAGAGAGAGAGAGAGAGAGAGAGAGAGAATAATGCTATTTTCATAGCATTATTTAAATCTGTAATAAAATCTACCCATAATATATATATCTATTTCCTATTGATGATTACCCATCCTTTTCAAGACAGTCTGTCATAGCGATTCACACAATCAAATATACCAATTTGTATCACTATAATGTTAAGCAAATCCATGAAGACAAATATCTAAGCTACAATGTAGCTTGAAAGCTTGTTGTATCTGGACCATATATTTTTTAGTTAGAATCCTTTCTAACATCAATCACTCTTATCAATTCAACTTACAATGAATATCCTGCTATACGTGGCAAATCTGGCGATAAGATATTTTGTCGACAAAAGCAATCTTATCTTATCCTACCTTTCTCGCGTAGGTAACCGAGTGGCAGAGCAGGAGGAGCAGTGTGAATCGACCTAACCATCCTCTCCAGCCACACAGAGTCACAGTCATGTTGTGTTTGGCCTTGATTTCTTATCAGTTACAACTCAAGATGCGATGCGCTGGCGGGAAAAGAAGAGAAAGGGATTTTTAAGAAGGGAATTTAGGGAATTAGATGAAGCGACTAGATAGGGTGATGCATTCATTAGTCTAGTCATCACGAAAACATGCTCCGGAAAAGACGTTGGGGTAATTTGTATAGCTTATCTTTAGACAGGAAATTGGGTTATGTGAAATTTTGACTATTTGATTATAAGCGTGTTTGTCACACAGAAATTCGTCGCCTATGGCATTTCTATCCGGTCCTAGCAATATTCATTACATAAATATGTGCTCACACACACATACGTGTTTATGTGTGTGTGCAACCCTGTGTTTCACAACAATTTATAACCTTCCTCTTCTACAGAAACACTTTTTAAACATTTTTAAACACAGTTGTGATATTTGTCAAGTCGCCAAGACCGCTGAAGAATCTCCAAACCGATTTCGAGAAAGGCTTCTTTATAGAGAGGAACACGCACCATTGTATATTCTAATAAGTGAGCTTCAACTTGAGGGATATCTTTAATCTAATTCAATCATTTTCGTATGCGAAAAAAGAAAAACCTTGGCAATGCTAAAACCAGAGTGAAACTACTCACAAAACGTTTCCAAGCAACACGACGCGACACTAAGTACTTTTCGCACGCTCACTCACTCTCGTTCGCCTGACAGGTTCGTGCGAAAATCACTTCAGGACAAGATTCCTGCTGCCTTTTTGAGCCTTGCTTCGGGTGTCAAGCCTCGGTCAGCGCCTGCGAGTCCAGTGCCGGGAGAGCCTGGGTATTGCGTGAGGTTCCGAGAGGAGTATACCATCACGCCCTTACTACTGAACGGGAGAGAGGGAAGGAGGGGAAAGGAGGGACACAGCCACCACACAAAACGGCTGATCACTGACTTCCCCTCAGCTTCCACCTCAGCTCGTCTCGCCCCTCCCTCGCTCCCTACCCCCTCCCCCCTGCCCCTGCAGCTCATCTCCCTCTTTCTCCCCCCCCCCCCCCCACCACGCCCATCGCAAATGAGAACTAGGACACGAATGTATCAGGGGCGTTGGTGTCAGGGCTGCAGGGGGCGGGTGAGGAGGATGGGCGCGTACCTGACAACAGTTGCAAAATGAGGGAGCTAAAGAGGAAGATCTAAACACGCCTTGATGTGTGAATGGAGGTCGAGGCGGGAGGGACCAAGTCGGGAACGGCAGAGGAAAGGTATTCACACACACACACACACATATATAAATATATATTACCGCATATACATATAGATACAGATACACACACCATATATATATATATACATATATACTATATAATATATTATATATACATTAATATATATATATATAATACATAAAGTACACAACATATATTCATAACACACAGCACATACAATGACCATATATATCACACACACACATATATATATCACACTACATACACACAGCATGTACACACACATGCACACACACACACTATATACACATACACACACACACACATATATATATCACATACCACACACACACATATACTATAACTACACATACACACACACATCTACATAAGCACTTTAAATAACAAAAGTCGCCCTGGGCGGCGGCTGCGAACCGCGTGGCCGCGCCGAGCCGCCCTCGTGGGAGGCGGCGGAGGCGACGACCCCCGCGGAGGCGACGGGAAATCGCCTCGCCGCCTCTCGGGGAAGCGAATCCCTTGTGGTCCGGTTCCGGTTTTTATGCGCAACACGAGTGCAGTGATGAGAGACAAAACTATCCGTGTCGGATGATTTAATGAGAAAAGAAAACAAAGACAAAAGGCATTCCGCAATGTTTATAGAAAGAGCAGTTGCAATAAGATCCCATTTTCCTTGTAGAGTCATACAAACTACGCCTTTTTTTCTAACTGACCATTTCTATCACGAGAGCGACAGGGACAGTGACCCTCCTCCCTCCGCGACTGAAAATGACAGTGACTGACTCTCCAACTCTCTGTGTACCGGAATTCGAAACGAGACAAAATCCACTAACTCACGCAATACCAATTTTAGTTTTTTCCTCTAAAAGACATTCACCTAAATTTACACAAATACACACAAATACACATACGCAAAGCATGCCCATACCAACCGATCTACATAAACGCAAACGAACGCACACAAATACACGCATACGACAGCAAACACAAACACAAAAATACACGCACACACACACACACACACACAAATTACTAAACACAGACTCAAACACACACAAAAACACTCAAAACCACAACAAACGGCAAAACTACCCATACCCACCGCTCTCCACAACGTACAACAAACGCCACAACTCCCCAAGTCGAGCGCGCGGCGACGACCCCGACGCTCCGAATCACCCTGCCCCGACGACTTCACCTGTGGTCTGCGAAGGACGACCTCTCTCGCCGCCCGATGCCTCCCTCGAGTGGCGGCGCGGCGAAGGAGCCCCGAGACGCCAGGCCACGCCGCCGGAGGGAAGGGGAAGCAAAAACGAAATCGGAAAGAGAGAGAGAGAGAGGAGGGAAAGGAGGGAAGGGAGGGGAGGGAGGGAGAGAGACGGAGGGAGGGAGGAGGGAGGGAGAGAAGGGAGAAGAGGGAGGAGGGAGAGCAGGGAGAGGAGAGAGGGAGGATAGGGAGGAGGAGAGAGGAGAGGGAAGGGAGGAGAGAGGGAGGGAGAGAGAGAGAGAGAGAGAGAGAGAGAGAGAGAGGGAGAGAGAGAGGCAAGAGAGAGAGAGAGAGAGAGAGAGAGAGAGAGAGGAGGAGAGGAAGAGCAGAGAGAGAGAGAGAGAGAGAGAGAGAGAGAGAGAGGAGAGAGAGAGAGAGAGAGAGAGAGAGAGAGAGAGAGAGAGAGAGAGAGAGCGGAGGGGGGGGGAAGGGAGGGAGGGAGGGAGGAGGGAGGGAGAGGGAGAGGAGGGGAGGGGAGGGAGGAGGAGAGGGAGGGAGAGGGAGAGAGAGAGAAGAGAGAGAGAGAGAGGAGAGAGAGAGGAGAGAGAGAGAGAGAGAGAGAGAGAGAGAGAGAGAGAGAGAGAGAGAAGAGAGAGAGAGAGAGAGACGAGAAAGAGAGAGAGTAGAACGCAGGAAAGAGAGAGAGAGACCGAGAGAAAGCCAGAGAGAGAGAGACAGAGAAGGAGAGCAGCACCGGGATGAGCCAGGCGAGAGCAGTCAGGGAGAGACGAGGGAGAGATAGGCGAGAGAGCAGGCCGAGAGATACGGCGAGAGAGACGGGACGAAGAGAAGCGAGAGAGACGAGCAGGGAGAGAGACGCGACGAGAGACGGAGAGAGAGGCGAGAGCAGAGTAGGAGAGACGTTAACGAGAGAGAGAGAAGACGACGACTGAGAGACGAGAGCAGAGAGGAGAGAGAGCAGTGAGAGAGAGAGAGACGAGAGAGAGAGAGAACGAGACGAGCAGAGAGAGAGAGACGACGAGGCAGAGAGAGCAGAGCAGAGAGAGACCATCGAGAGACGAGACGCAGCACGAGAGACGAGCAAGAGACCGAGAGAGAGAGAGACGACGACGAGAGACGAGAGAGACCGAGACGAGAGACGAAGAGAGACGGAAAAGCATTTAGAGCAGACGACGAGCCAGACGAGCACGCAGAGACCCGACAGGACGACAGCAGCGGAGCGCGACGGCACGGCGAGGGGCAGGGCACGACGGGACAGAGGAGGAGAGGAGCCGAGAGACGAAGCAGAGAGACAGAGAGAGCAGAGAGCAGAGAGAGAGCGCGGAAGAGACGACCGAGAGAGAGAGAGAGAGAGCAGCAGGCCAGAGCAGCACGACCAGAGGCGCAGCGGAGGAAGGCAGGGAGGGACGAGGGAGGAGGGAGCAGGGACGCACGGGAGAGGCGGCAGAAGGGACGACGACGACGAGAGAGAGAAGACCGACGAGCCCAGAGGGAGAGAGAGCACGAGCAGAGAGACGGACCGAGAGAGAGAGAGCAGACGAGAGAGAGCAGAGAGAGCAGAAGAGGAGAGACGAGAGAGCACGACGAGAGCAGAGACGAGACCGAGGAAACGAGAGACCGAGCAGAGAGATAATCTTAATAAACTCGCACGCACACCAAAAAATGTAATCACGCAAGTAACGAGAAATACGCAGAGAAAGCAGGAGACCTGTGAGAACTGCAGCAAACTTAAACGGCAGACGACCGACGAGAGAAAGCACCGACGAGAGCGAGAGAGAGAGAGAGACGAGAGAGAGAGAGAGAGAGAGAGAGAGAGAGAGAGAGAGAGAGAGAGACCAGAGGAGAGAGAGACAGACAGAGAATAGAGAAGAGAAATGGAGATAGATAGATAGAGAGAGAGAGAAACAGAGAGACAAAAAAGCGGAAGAAAATGAGCAAGAGAGAGAGACACAGACAGACGAACAGGCAGACAGGCAGAGAGCGGCCGCACACCGAGGTACGTCCCAAGTATCAGCGTTCACGCCAACACCAGCCTTTCATTCATAGGCGGAAGACGACAATAAAGTCAATAGAGAAAGCGGTTCAAATGGTCAGGATGCTGCTCTCTGCCCGGCTCGGACCCTCGGGGAGAGACAACAACAGAGAGAGACACAATATATAAAAAAAAATCGTAAAAAGAAGGAGAAAGAAATCTCTTCCTAGAAATTAACACGAGACAAGCAGTACGCAGGTCTTCTTGCTTCTGTTGTTTGCAGTATCGCGGGTGTCAGGTTCTGTATTATTACGGTTATTTATATTGTACGATAAGTGAAGAATGGATTATCTTTTTTTAATCTATTAACAGTTTTGAAGTCCAAAAGGAAAATGGGAATAAGGATAATTAATACACAAAACTTTTTATTAATTACAATTCAGGATAATCTTTACACAAAACTTTTTTTTTATATATAAAGGTAGTATCATGACCATATAGATCATTAGAATATCAGCAACAATGATGTTGACAATGCTCTTAAACCATGGCTGAGGATGATAAAGATTATAATGTATATAAAGTATTCAGTAATGAATATACCAGTTCTTGTTTTGATAAAAAAGTTTTAATATATCAGCACAATCTTATTTTGTGTGAAATTCATAAGGATGACGAGAAATGTAAAACAGGCAATAAGGCTAGAAATTTAAAGTGGTATTATTGATAATGCAATATTGTGCCAGGCATAATTCACGTTGAATGAAAGAGGAGCAATAGAAATAATATTAACAATAATAGTAGAATATTTGCTAATAGCATTAGCTGTAATAAAACAAGCAAAAATCTGAATAACGATAACAGCAAAATTTTAGACAACAATAAGTATAGTATACTATATCATAATAACTACAATAATATCACTGCTACTACTACTACTACTTCTATAACAACTACTACTGCTATTACTACATCTATAACAACAACTACTACTATTACTACTTCTATACAACTACTACTACTATTACTGTTACTATCGTTACTACCATAATAATAACAATAATAAAAATATTAATGATGCTAAAAGCAATAACAATAATAATAATAACAATAGTAATATAAATAATAACAGGAATGATAACAAAGACTTGCTGCAGTGACACCCTTCATCATCTTAAGAGGAGGAAAAGAGCCAAACCCGTTGCTGAAATATTCCTAAAAACTCTACACCAATACCCCTCCTCTGCATCTCCTATAAGCTGTACGAGAGGACCTTTTAACAAGCCGGGTTTAGGGCAGGAGGTTCATGTTGACCTAGATGGCGAGGGTGGCGAGGAAATGTGGCGAATATCATGGGCAGTATTCGTTTACCTAACGACAGTAGCATATGAAACGGTGAACCACAGTAGCCTCTTCTTAAAATTGTCCATAATGCTAAAGAACAAAGCCAAACGGAAACAGTCAGGAGTCTCTTTGAAATCCATAGGTTTTATGTATAAATAAATAGTGCAAAGTGTCCATGCACCTTTCCTCATTCATATATACACGGCTGATTAACAAACCTTACCTGGTACTCACAGATTTCTCAATACAGATGATCTATGCATAGGAACAGAGGCTACGTCTTTCCAAGAATATGAAACTCGCCTGACAGCACATAATGCAATACCAGCATCAAAAATGGTCACCGAACCCCAGTCTCCCAAAGACTCAGGTATGTACATTCTATTTGATGGATAGAGAATCCCTCGAAAATATAAGATCTTTTAGCGTCGAAAAGACCCTAAATACCATTCAACTCCAACGTACTTAGGTCTGACGTTGGGTAGGACGTTTTTGTTAGCTATTGCTGTCCAAAAGTCCCAAGGGAAAGTTGCGTCCCGTAGTTGGCTTAAAAAAAAAACTTGCAAACACAATATGAGGAGTCAATACCAATGCATACATCCTGTGGATAACAGCATAGGCGCTCTGTAAATCATCTTCGAGCTCAACATCTACCAACATTGCACAAGGGCTGCCTGGTAGAGGGATACGTAGACAATCCAAACCAACTTGAAAAAACTTGAACCGACTTGAAAAAACTAACCAAACAACCATCCATGGCACTCCCTACGCCGCCATACACAGGTCCCTAGTCGCCTGAAATCAAGAAAAAAACTTTGCAACGGTCCAGCAACTACCATTAGGAACGCCACCTAACAATGCTGTAAAAAGTCATACAGAAACACTGTCAGATGATACACAATTCAGTACACAAACCTGGTACATTCTGAACGGCGAAGGGCAGAAGTATGCAGACGAATGACACAGTATAGTAAAATGGAGTTTATTAACCGATCGCGTGTGTTGAAGAGGTACACAAAGTCGATGGAACTATTATCATAATCATTATTACTATTAGCATTGTCATTTCCATCATCACCATCATTAACATCATCATTTCATTATCATCATTATTGATATTATTCTCATTTTATAATTATTATTATCCTTAACATTGTTATTATTATTGTTGTTATTGTCATTATCATTATTGTTATTATTATTATTATCATCATTATTCATCATTATTATATTATTGATATTTTCATTATATTATTCATTATTTTATTACTATTTATTGCCTCCGCCAAGGAAGTCATGTTTTTGGTAACGTTGGTGAGTAAGTTGCTTAGGAGGATAACAAGATGGTTGACACAATAACTCAAATTATGAACAGATTTTTAAAGGAAATTTAGATCAGAGGTGTTTCTCAGGCCAACTTAGATGCCATTCAATTTTGGCGGTGGTCCGGATCCAGGATTTTTTTTAAAAGATTCAATAGCATTACGAGATTGGGAAACGCTGTAATTATTATGTTATTTGTACTTCAGAAAGAGTGCTTCTAGTTATCATGATTATGTTTGTTGTTGTTTTTGTTATCATTATGATTATCCTTATCGATATGATAATAATAATAATTATTATTATTACTATTATCATCATCATCATTATAATTTTTGTTATTATTATTAATATTTTTATCATCATCATCATCATCTTCATCTTCATCGTCATCGTCATCGTCATCGTCATCATCATCATCATCATCATTATCATTATTAATATTACTATCATTATTATTTTTATCATTATCATTATTATTATCATTATCATTTTTGTCATTATTATTATCATTGCTATCATTATGATTATTATTATCATCATTATTATTATTACTATCATTATTATCATTGTTATTGTCATTATCATTATCATTACGGTTGTTATTATCATTATCACTGTTATTATTATAAATTCATTGTAATATCATTATTACTTTTTACCATCATTAGTTATTATCATTATTATTGTTATTATTATTATTATCATTATTATCATTATCATTATTATTATTATTATCATTATTATTCATATATTATTATTATTATTATTATTATCATTATTATTATTATTATTATCATTATTTATTATTATTATTATTATTATTAATTATATTATTATTATTATTATTATTATCATTATTACTATTATTATCATTATCATTATCATTATTATCATTGTTATTATCCTCCTCCTCCTCCTCATCATCATCATCATCAGTCATCATCATTGTTATTAATAGTGTTAGTACTAGTATTAGTAGTACTAGCAGTAGAAGTGGTATTAATAATAATATCAGCATTAAGAATTATTTTACTGATATCATCACTGACGATATAAATGATGATAAAGATGAATGTGATGATATAAATAATAGTAATAATTATGATAATGGTAACAATAGTAATAATGATAATACTAATGATAATACTAATGATAATACTAATGATAATAATAATGATACTACTACTACTACTACTAAATAATAATACGATAATAAAACAACAATAATAATAACAATAATAAAACAACAACAACAATAACAATAATGATGGCAGCAGAGAATAATAATCTTAATAATCTTGCTACCAACACTATAGCGATACAACGCAATACTTGTAAAACATTAACACTTTGTTGGCTTCACAAGATTTTTCATATCATTCGTTCTCTTTCACTGACCACGAAAAGATTAAAATTATCGTTCAAGTTATTTTTCCTCTAGTTATAAATCTCAGACAACGATTTTTTAAATTGAGATTAGATAGAGTAACTTTATTTGCTTTTGTGATTAATCTTCATTTAGACGATAAGAGTTGAGTGTCAGTATGAAATTAACGTACAAATTATGCAGTCATCTTGAATAGGACGGGATTATAAGATAACAGTAATACATACCTGTATTTGAATGTGTAAGCATACCTATAGTAAAGTCACAGATGCAGGCGTGTGTCTTCGGGCGTGCGTGTGGGGTCGCCTGTACCTCTCCGTATCTTCGAGAACGATGCCCGGTCCTTTTCCCCTCCCTGGCGACAATGCCCCCTCTCCCCTCCCTGCCCCCCTGGCGACAGTGAGCCCCCGTCCCCCTGGTGGCGGTTTCCCCTCCTACCCCCTCTGATGGCAGTACCTCCCCGCCCCCCTCCAAGCGACGGAGCCTCCTCCTCCCCTCCAGCGATAACACCCCTTCTCCACTCCTCCCCCGGCGACGTCTCCTGCAACGTGACACTCCGAGGCTCGCCGGGAGGGGGGTGAGGGGGAGGAGGGGAAGGGGTCCCTCCCGACGGCAACCCGAGAACAACAACACACGCGGCGGGCGAAGGGGCGGCGGCGGCGGCGGCGGTGGTGGCGGCGGCTGCGAGCGGGAACAACAAGGCTGAGATTTTCTCGGGTGAAAATCTAGAACTTTCCTGTGATAGATCTCGAACTTGTATAATACCTCTACCACTACTACTACTACCACCACTACTACTGCTAATACTCTACTACTATTACTACTATTACTACTACTACTACTATTACTATCACTACTACAACATATCTAAAACGTGCTCTAAACGAATGCCCATTTATAATGAGACATTTACTTCATTTTCAGATACGAATATAATTCCAAACTATTGTAAAA